ACGTGCACCGGGAAGGCGTCGGTGAATTCCAGCTGGTACGCCAGGGCGGCCGTGCCCCCCAAAATCCCCACCCCCCCCTCCCCAAAATCCTGAGACCCCCACCAAACTCCTCACAGGACGAGCCCCCCCGCGAGGAGGATGGAGCCGGAGGAGGGTTTTAATGGGGTGAGCGCTGCCCCCCCACTCCTGGGGAGGGGTCCGGAGATCCCCCGCGATCCCGCGGTCATGGGGGGTCCCGAGGGTCGCAGGGCCTCGGGGACCCCGCGGTTTTGGGGGGCTCAGGGGTGCGCGGTGTTCGAGTCCCGGGGGTCCCAAAATCAGAAGTTTCGGGGATCCCAGGATCTCAGGCATTTGGGGGTTCTGAGGGGGTCCTGGGGGTTCTGAGGGGGTCCTGGGAGTCTCGGGGGTCCTGGGAGTTTCGGGGGGGTCCTGGGAGTTTCGGGGGGTCCTGGGGGTTTCGGGGGGGGCCTGGGGGTTTCGGGGGGTCCTGGGGTCTCAGCCTTGGGGATCTGGGGAGTCCCGGGTGTCGGGGGGATCTCGGGATTGGGGGGTCCTGGGGGTCTCAGGGTGTCCCGGTGGGTCTGAGGGACCCCACCAACCCCCCCCAGCGCCCCCCAAATCCTCCTCCCTTGGCCCCCAAGCCCCCCTGCGCGGGTGCCCGCGGCCCCGCGGCCGCCGCCATCATCGGCGCTGAGGACGAGGACTTCGAGAACGACATCGAGCCCGTGAGTGCGGGCAGGGGTCCCTGGGGGGGATCCCCCGCTGCCCCACCCCAAATCCTGACCCCGCGCCCCCTGCCCAGACCCCCGAGGAGCAGAACAGCCAATTCCAGAGCCTGGAGCTGCTGCGGCAGCACCCGCTGTCCCTCATGGCCTTCCTGCAGCACGTCGTGCTCCAGTTCGACTCCTGCCCCGTGGTGAGATGGGGAGGGGGTTCCCAGACCCCCCCCGAGACCCCCCAAAATCTGAGGAGGGGGTGGGGAGTGAAACCTGGGGGTGAAACTTCCCCTGGGAGTAACTTTTTTTGTCTCTGTTCCCCCCTCCCCGCTGGCAGGGGCTGGAGCTGAGGTAAAATAGAGGAGGGGGGAATGTTCGGGCGGGGGGGGGGG